ACGCCGGCCGGGCTCAGGTGTATTCCTTGTCTTTGCCAGGAACCATCCTGGAGGATTGAGCGATGCCCCTGAAAGAAGACCCAGGTGGCCAGGTCTGGGTGTCTGGGGGTCTGGGCCTCTGACGGGGGCTGTGGGCCGGGTGACGTCCCTGCCTCAGCCCGTCTCACCATGGCTTTGTTGCAGTATCCGCCGCCCTGGAACTCCAGCGTCCCGTAGGCATCGGTCGGGTAGGCCTGGGTGTGTCTGCCCACAGACCACTTCTCCGGGGGAGCCTCCAGCTCCGTACTCTCCTCCCCATTTCTGCCGGATGTTGCGCTGGGCAGAGGGGGGATGTGCAGGGCGATGAGCTGGCCACAGCAACACCTGAGAACAAAGGCAAAAACAGTCTTTTCTCTCTCTCTCTTCCCCTCCCTCTCTCTCTCTTTTAAAATATCCTTTATAATAAAGGCCTAGTATGCTAAGTGTCCGACTGTCCGACCAGTCGCTATGACACATACTGACCACCAGGGGGCAGATGCTCTGACCGATAGATTAGTATTGCTGGGAGGGGGCAGATGCTCTGACCGATAGATTAGCTTATTGCTGGGGTCTGGCCGATTGGGACGGGGCAAGATGGGCCGGACTCGCCCTGAGGCCCTCCCGCAGCCCCTCCCTGGCCAGCCAATCTCCCTCGGTCCCGCCCCGGCCTCTGAAATATTTCCTCTAATTAATTTCCTTTCCATGTGCACGGATCCATGCACCAGGCCTCTAGTGTTTTTGTGGATTTCGAAGGAAGGAAGGGAGAGGGGGAGAGAGAGAGAGACATCCATGATGAGAGAGAGTCGTGGGTCGGCTGCCTGCTGCACGCCCCCCACTGGTTTTCATTCTGGCTTTGGTTCGAGGAGGCACTTAGCCGCGTGTCTGTGCAGGGCGGCTGCAGGGCTGCCCTAGAGGGTTCCATCAGGGAGGCCCAGGTGCCCCTGAAGTTAAAGAGGGACGTTGAGGTGCAGCAACATGAAGATGGGATCTCTCTCTCTCTCTCTCTCTCTGTCTGGAAATCAATGGAAAGAAATATCCCCGGATCAAAATAAAAAGAAAGAAGAGTTGCCGGCAACGGGGGGGCCCCCAGGGCGGGTCTGGACGGCGGCTTCCCTGCGGCTCCCAGGTCACCTGCTGGGGTCCTTGGTGCTGGGGACGACGAAGACGCATTCCCGCCTGCAGAAGGTCTTCTCGATCCACGCCTTTTGTCCCTGGGAGACAAGGAGGTGGGCATGAGGCCCCGGCCTCCCCCAGCCACCCTCAGCGTCCGAGCTTCCCCGTATAGACACACGAAGAAGGGGGAATGGAAGCTTCGATTCATGTCCTCAGTGTTCCTTTGACAGAAGATGGCCCAGCCCGGCTGGCATGGCTCAGTGGTTGAGCGTCAACCTAGCTGCCAGGAGGTCACGGTTAGATTCCGGTCAGGGCACAGGGCCCGGTTGTGGGCTCGGTCCCCAGTGTGGGGCGTGCAGGGGCCAGCTCATCCACGATGCTCTCTCATCATGGATGTTTCTCTCTCTCGCCCCCTCTCCCTCTCTGTGTAACCAATACAAACGTATTTGAAAAGCAACGAAAGAAAAGAGAAAGTGGCCGAGAGCTGAGCCGGACAGGGCCATGGAGGACAGATGGGTGTCCGTGAGGGGCCTGGCCAGGCCGGGCAGGGACTTCCGAGGACCCTGGGCTGAAAGAACTGGGGCTGCCAGATCTTTTTTCTTTCTTTTTCTTTTCTTTTTTTTTTTTTTTCATGAAGAGACGGAAAAAAAAAAACCCATCTGCTGCCAACATGACCGATTAACGTTGGTACGATCTGGGCGGTGGGCGCCCACATGCTCACTGTCCAGTTATTCTCGCTTCTTTTATTACATATGTTTTGATTGATTTCAGAGAGGAAGAGAGAAACATCACTGATGAGAGAGAATCATTGACTGGCAACCCGGGCATGTGCCCCGACTGGGTATGGAACCATGACCTTCTGGTTCGTAGGTCAACGCTCAACCACTGAGCCACCCGGCCGGGCGGCTTTTCTGTGGGTTCTGATGGCAGGAGACAGCCAGCGTGGAGCCCGGGGAGGGTTTGTCAGGAGGGTTTGACATCCTGGACCATGTCCACACGGGTGGGGACGGCCCTACAAGGAGGGGTGCAGGAGGGCAGGGAAGGTTGGGGCTGGGGTGGGGTGACAGGGGGGACCCCGAGGGGCGAGCAGGGCCTGGACCACAGGACATGGCTTTGGGCCTGGGTGTCTGCAGCCTCCAACGTGGCATCTGAAACACGGGGGCTGGTTCGCTGCTGGGCGGGCCTCTGTTGCCTCCGCGGCCTGTGTCTCTGGGCCAAAATTAACAGCAAGCCCCACCCGCAGCCAAATGACGGGGGACCAGTTTAGCCGGAAGACACCGCTGGCCTCCTGGGTCTATTTCGAGCGCACTGTCCCCCTGCGGCCGCCTGTGGCCCCACGTGGTGTCGCTCAGTGGTTAGAGCGCCCGCTTTGGCACCCGAGAGTGGCAGGTTCAATTCCC